GAGACTGATTTCAATTGGGGAAACAATTAATGGGGGAGCAGAAGAGAAAAAACCAATGCGGGGTATTGTTACAGTGGTGTTATTGTCATACTGTAAATTATTAATGACACATTTTTTATCTTAATTGATTATTATATATTTTAATTTATTAAAAAACAAAAAAATATAAAATTAAAAAAAAAAGTGTAATGTAAGGGTGTAATAGGTTTATATTAAAAATATGTTGTATTAACTATTTAGAGTGTGATAAGAACTCCAAAATAAATTTGAATTTAAATCTGTATTTCAATATATGTACCTTTCCTACCATTAATAGAATCTTGATTACTCCATTAGATTTCGTCTTTGAGTTATTTTTCAGTAAGAACAGGTACAAAAGAGAGAAGGCAAATGGAGAAGGGTGACAGGAAAAAAGTTCTACATAGTAAAAACAAATAATGGCATTTAGTCTGAATAAAAAAGATGAGATTTATTTATATAAAAGTTTTACTTATTATATTTATATAAAATTTTGATTATTTTTATTTTTAATAATTGAGATTCTTTAAGAATTTTTTAGATGAAAAATATAATTATTTTTATTAAATATGAAAAAAAAGTGAATAAATTTTAATTATTGAAAGTAAAGAAATAAATAATTAAAATTTTATATATGTATAATGTAAATTTTGTGAATAAATAAATTTTTATTCTAAAAAAATAAAATAAAAAAACTCGTAATTAAAACAACCACTCAACATATAAAAGATACCACTTTAATTAGGTTTTGATACTATATTTAATGCTCGCTAACCTGTGCCGGTGTGTTGAGGTTAGAAAATTCCATCTTAAGACAAGGGAAGACCGAGACTTTTGAGTCTTTAGTTCCCTTGTTGGAAAATTCCATCTAGATAAGGGAAGACGGAGAATTTTGAGCCTTTGGTTCCCTCGTTGAAAATTCATCTTTGTTGACACTTGACCATGACTGAATACCTTTCTTTCTCCCCCTAATGAGACTCGGAAACTACATCTTGTTCCAAAAAATTAAATGACGACTTGTTAATATATAATCATAATTCATAACAATGGTTATACAAACCTTAAACTTCAATCTGTCTAGTTTACTTGTCACATTTAAAAAAAAAAAAAAGAAGATAATTTAAATTGTTAATTTCAATTTTTAACATAGCACTAAAGTTTTCTTTTTTAATTTTACCCTTATTAATAGTTACTAACTACACAACAATAAGAATAATTATAAATATGAAATTTTAATTAACAATAATTGTGTTTTATTTTTATTTTGAACAATAGTAATTGTGTTTTTATAGATCTTTGTAATCTTTTCTATAATGGCGTCTAAGGAAAAGTATGAAAGGTAAAGTAAATAGGAGATAACGTCTATTTTGGATGTAGCTTAGTAACTGAAACCTTGGTCATTGAAGCCAAGGCAAGTCCATTGAATGAGATGGAGTAAACTAATACCGAATAAAAAGACATGAATCAAATTATACACTTGAATTAGCAATTGGAAGTAGTTTTGCTTAAAAAAAACGAAGCTGGTATCAAATTGTAGAAGAAAGAACTGATATCAAATACCAATACATCTAATGAGCGAATTCTAACAATATTATTCAAAATTGGGTTGACAATTCGAATTTAATTGTGCATTTCTCAAAAAGACAATAATTGATATATGTAATAATTCAGCATGCTCTTTTTTATACATTCATTAAAAAATTATTATTTTAAATTTAAATTTAAAGTAAGAAAGCTTTTAATTATAGATTTAAATAGTTGAATCAATTAGTGTTAATAGTTGTGTTGAATTGGAAAAATATACCAATTTTTCTTCTCAAAAACTATTGAGGATATAGCTCTATAATTGAAACATAATTTTTTGCTAAGGGGACCGATTCGTCCTTTGATTTCTTGAAGTCTGATACCCATGAATTGTAGCCACATAAGGTTGATATATGTCTGATTCATTAGTGCTGTGCTTAAAAAATGCACGCAGGTTGAGAAGGCACTCGAAGAGAAGTTAAATTGTTATCAAGTAGGAGAATAGTTGAAGCAATGGTTGGTCTGTTAGCAACATTATATCTTGACCAATTCACATAGCAGCCCAATATGGATGCATCTCATTATTTCATGTCCCTTCCGTCCAACTTTTCCATGCCTGCAAAGGGTTAATAAAAGCACATGCGCATAAAGCATAGTATTAAAGTTTTTTTTTTTTCAATTTTACTTCTGTTAATAATTACTTCATTTTTAAAAAATGACACATTTTAACTTCCCAACTACCCTTAAACAAGAGTAAATATAAAATTTTTAATTATTAATAAGTGTATTTTTATAAATAAAGAAAAAAAAGAAGTTCCATCTTTATCAAGTTCATCACGTAATTATTATTAAAATTTTTGACACTTTTAGTATTGAAACATCCTCTTTTTTTTCTCTCTCTTTTATAAATCTTTGTAATTTCCTATATAATACTATAAAGAAAAAATATAACAAGTAAAATGGACTGAAACAGTAGATACAGTATCTTTGATGTAGTTCAGTAATTGAAACATCGTTTATTGAGGCCAAGGCAAGTCCATAGAAAATAAGAGTATTTTTTTGTGTAAGCCTTCTAATTATTTTCAGCAATCAAATATATATGCCAAGACCGAATAAAATGACATGAATCAAATTATACACTTGAATCATGGGTTTGTATAGTATAAGGGACGTGACAAAGAGTAATTATAATGTAACTAATATATTTTTTTTTTCTTGAAAGATATGAAATTTTGAATAAAAAATACAAGTTCTGATTTTTATTCAAAAAAGATCAATAAAAAAAAAAAAAAAACCAAGCATGCAACATTTGCAATTAAAACAAAAATAACTTCTTCTTTTTGAAGATAAAAAAAAATCATTATTACTTAATATTCACTTTTTATTTTGTGCCTTAAATGCGTATGATATATAAACTGATAAATAATTATTACCTAACAATTACTTCTTTTGGGGCACATGATAAATAAAGTAGTCATTACATGAAAATTGTTTTGCTTATGAAAAAGAAGTTAGTATCAAATTATACAAGAAAGAACCAATATCAAATACTAGTGCATCTAATAAGCAAATTCTAGCATTACTCAAAACTGGATTGATAATATAAAATTTAATTGTACTTTTGAATCTCAGAAACTATCGAGGACATAGCTCTGTGATTGAAACATCATTTTTTACCAAGGGGACTGATTCATCCTTTGATTTCCCTGAGTTTGATACTCATGAATTGTAGCCACGTGAGGACGACATGTCTGATTCAATAGGGTTGTGCTTAAAAAATGCTGGTTGAGAGGGCACCGGGAGTGAAGTTGAATTGCTATTAAGTAGGAGAACAACTGAAGCCATAGTTGGTCTTTCAGCAACATTTTCTTGAACACATAGCAAACCAATATGGATACATCTCATCATTTCAGCTGTTGAACCATTTCTCAAAGTTGGATCTAGGAGATTCAATCCTGCCCCTTCCCTCCAACTTTTCCACGCCTGCAAAGGGTTATAAATGCACAAGTGCATAAAACATCAAACTAAGATTTGAACTTCTAATATTTGTCACATGAAAGAAACATAGTAGGTATAGATTCTCATACTTACAAAACTTAGTAGGTCTTCTATG